ATACCAAATGTATTTGTTCATCATAAATCCGTCCTAAATCCTAATAATGGGGACAAAGAAGAATTTGTTTGTTCTTTCCATTTCGAAAACGACCCTAGAGGTTTCGGTTAAAAGAATATTAGGTCATGTTCCACATTTTCTCTTCCACTTTCTCAATTTTACTCTTCTATTGGATGATGAATGATTTCAGATAAAATTCACATTCACATTCCACAATACTGATTTACTTATTTATTCATGATTATCTATATTGTCGGTAACACTCAACGGTTGTAATTCTATTAGTGTGGATGAGGATTTTCAAAGTTACGAATTCGAATCTAGATGTTTAAAAATAAATTAATTCTACATCTTATTATCTTAAGTTCGAAGACATTATTGATCTCATAAGGTCCATTTTTTTTTGTCCTTAATCCTAACTTATACAAAATATTGAGTCTATCATTTTTTTTTTTTGGTATGAAAGTATATCATTATTGTCGCGGGTACGTAAAATTGTGCGTAGATCTCTCTTGCAACATATTTTTGTTATATTATTCTTACTTATAAACAAATATAGTAATGGTATAGCTAAGAGAACACGGTTTAATGTTTTTTTTTTGATAAAATGTTAATTATATATTACCAAAAGGAACTTGAGGTTTACAAAAGTTTAGTCATGAGGTTTACACGGTTTAATGTTTGGTTCTTCTTTAGCAGAATGATAGGGAATTGTCTACGAACAAAATGCTATGTGAGGTGGACATTACATATTACGTAAGTGTTATGCATTATGAATTTTATAAATCAATGATCAGGCTAGAAAATGATTGTACATCCGAATGTTACGAAAACTATATATTTTGTTTTTGTTTTGGGTTTCATAATTTTTATAATTATGTCAGTTTTAATATATGATTAATGTCATGGTAGGAGATTCATTAAGAGACGAATCGTTTGTATTGATTTTTTTAAAATAAGATAATATGTTGAAAATTTATTTTTTCCAATCATTATAACTGTAACATTTTTTTTGTTGTATTTACTATTTTTACATAAAAACAATAATATAAAATTGCTATTTTATTTCAAAGGTATTTTTTTCAATTGAAAGAAGATAAGTTTCACATACCACAAGTTGCAAAACCAAATTTGGGTGTTTTTTCCAAAGAGATTCTAGAATTTTTTTAAAAAGTCAAAAATATCAAACTTAGTAGGAGTGGAAGACTATTGTATAATATATGGGCCAGGCCCATAAAATTTTGGAATAAGATTTATATCAAAACGAAGCCGTTTTCTTTACTCTGTTAAGCTAAAACGAAGGCAATCACTATGGTCGCCACTCACACTTCAGAGGCAAAGAGCATGTCAACAGAGACTAAAGAAACCCGACCCGAATCAAGACCCGAAGATCCGGAAACCCGTTCTGATGTGGATCTAACCGGAGAAGCTCTCGGAAAACTGACCGCCTTCGACAACGACAACGACGTCGTTTCCGATGCTTCGGCGACGGAGACAGACCTTTCGCTATCGCCGAGTCAATCGGAGCAAAACCTTGAAGACGGCCAAAACTCACTCGATGACCAATCGCCATTGACGGAGCTTCAA